GTTCTTGTCGCATGCAGTCGAGTTCTATAGTTCCTTATAGTTTTTAGTAATAGTTCTGGTGATTTTATCCAAAAAAACACCAATCGAAAAAATGATCTGCTAACTTCCCGTAGCAGATCATTTTCTAGCAGATCAAAAATAAAAGAGAGTTCTTGTCGCATGCAGTCGAGTTCTATAGTTCCTGATAGTTTTTAATGATAGTTCTGGTGATTTTATAAAAAAAAACACCGATCGAAAAAAATGATCTGCTACGGAAAGTTAGCAGATAAAAAATAGAGGACACTGAACATATATGTGATATGCTGGCCGTATATTGATAGTTCTGTTGATAATTAAAGAGTTTTCGTGTAGTTCTGAGCCAGTACATTGCTTTTCCAAAGAGTTCTGACGACTAAAATAATTAGAAAATTTTTTAACAATTATTTTACCCGAAAAACACGCATTTTTGTACATATATGTGATATGCTGGCCGCATATTGATAGTTCTGCTAAAAATTAGACAGTTCTCTTCTAGTTCTGGGCGAGTACATTGCTTTTCCAAAAAGTTCTGACGACTAAAATAATTAGAAAATTTTTTAAACAATTATTTTACCCGAAAAACACGCATTTTTGAGTATATGTGTGATATGCTGGCCGTATATTGATAGTTCTGTTAATAATTAAAGAGTTTTCGTGTAGTTCTGGGCAAGTACATTGCTTTTCCAAAGAGTTCTGACGACTAAAATAATTAGAAAATTTTTTAACAATTATTTTACCCGAAAAATTTTCTAATTATTTTAGTCGTCAGAACTCTTTGAAAAAGCAACGTACTCGCCCAGAACTACACGAAAACTCTTTAATTATTAACAGAACTATCAATATACGGCCAGCATATAACACATATACTCAAAAAATGACGTGTTTTTCGGGTAAAATAATTGTTTAAAAAATTTCTAATTATTTTAGTCGTCAGAACTTCGTTTAGGAAAAAGTCAATGTACTCGCCCAGAACTAGAAGAGAACTGTCTAATTTTTAGCAGAACTATCAATATACGGCCAGCATATCACACATATACTCAAAAATGCGTGTTTTTCGGGTAAAATAACTGTTTAAAAAATTTTCTAATTATTTTAGTCGTCAGAACTCTTTGGAAAAGCAAGTGTACTCGCCCAGAACTAGAAGAGAACTGTCTAACTTTTAGCAGAACTATCAATATGCGGCCAGCTTATCACACATATGCTCAAAAATGCGCGTTTTTCGGGTAAATAAATTGTTTAAAAAATTTTCTAATTATTTTAGTCGTCAGAACTTTTGGAAAAGGCAATGTACTTGCCCAGAACTACACAAAAACTCTTTAATTATTAACAGAACTATCAATATACGGCCAGCATATCACATATATACTCAAAATGCGTGTTTTCGGGTAAATTAATTGTTTAAAAAATTTTCTAATTATTTTAGTCGTCAGAACTCTTTGGAAAAGCAATGTACTCGCCCAGAACTAAAAGAGAACTGTCTAATTTTTCGCAGAACTATCAATATGCGGCCAGCATATCACACATATGCTCAAAAATGCGCGTTTTCGGGTAAATTAATTGTTTAAAAATTTTCTAATTATTTTAGTCGTTCAGAACTCTTTGGAAAAGCAATGTACTCGCCCAGAACTACACGAAAACTCTTCAATTATTAACAGAACTATCAATATACGGCCAGCATATCACATATATGTTCAGTGTCCTCTATTTTTATCTGCTAACTTTCCGTAGCAGATCATTTTTTTCGATCGGTGTTTTTTTTTATAAAATCACCAGAACTATCATTAAAAACTATCAGGAACTATAGAACTCGACTGCATGCGACAAGAACTCTCTTTTATTTTTGTATCTGCTAGAAAATGATCTGCTACGGGAAGTTAGCAGATCATTTTTTCGATTGGTGTTTTTTTTAGGATAAAATCACCAGAACTATTACTAAAAACTATAAGGAACTATAGAACTCGACTGCATGCGACAAGAACTCTCTTTTATTTTTGATCTGCTGGAAAATGATATGCAAGGTTCACGAACATACTGCCTTACGACTGACTATGAATTACCGGCTTTTATTTTCAAAAACGATAACTCCGTGTGAGCCTGTATGGCGAATGTGGATTACGTTGATGGTAAAAAAAACCACTCACCGACAAATTGTAATGTAGATAATATATTATTTATATCAACCATTAGCCGCGCAATATTAAAATTAATAATGACAGATAATTACTTTTATCTTTAACCATTTAACATGTTCTCTCTCTCTCTTTCTCCCTATTTCTCTTTCCCTCTCAACGAATAAGTCCATGAACACTTAAAGAAAAAAATTACTCTGTTTTTCGCTACAAGATAATCTCCATTCAGGGCGTGAGTATCGATATTACAATTATGGAAATCGCTCTACACGCAAATGTGCATGCTCACTTCAGCAAGAGTAATTGTTTTAATGGCAATGCAAATGTATATACTGTAGAACAATGTAGATAACAAATTGGTAACAACGAATGTGTGAATTCAATCGTCAATATGCAAATTCGTTGAGTTGCTATATAATTGAGTATATATAGCAATTGTAGATGGATTTGTTATTATAATAATACATATCTAAATAATGGACAAGTGATTTTACTCACCAGCTAGGTATTACAGTTTCATCCACTGCAAATTCCATCTTAGACTGCTCCACAACAGCTCCGTTGAAGAATTATTACTTACGTGCATTAAATACCATAAGTAAACACTTGATGTCAAATACTAAATATTTGACGAAAATCAAACTACTCTTTTCACTTTTAAAAATTGCGGATTTACATCGCAAATTTGTCACAACACGGTACATGAAATATAAACGCGAGATAAAGCGTGGTGCTTTGTACCATAACTTTGATTTATAAATTGAGCGATAGCTTATTGATAGATTGTTCGGATAAAGTACAAATATAATGCGCCGATACTTTTCTAGGTCAGAAGGGCTCTTTTCCCTCACGCGAAACATGTTGCATGTTGTATAAGTTCTTAAATTTTACGGTACCCGAGAAACAAAAGAGTGGTTCAGTGCAGTCAAATGCATAAAAAAGCGAACTGACTGTATCAATTGTTGTATACGCAATTATATCATTTAATACGGCCTTTTCGTCACATCAATAAGCTGCATTTAAAACCGTACTTTGACAATCAATTCTTTTGCAAAAACATTGATTAAATTTAATAAAATTAAACATTAATATGTATATCATATATATATTAAAATTAAATCAAATACTATGTTCTCAAAATTTATACCGTCAGTTTCTAATTTCTTATAATTTTTTAATTTAAAAGTAATAAATTAAATAAATAGATGACTTGTGCAAAATTTTATATATTAATTACTGTTAAATTAATTAGAAAATAATATTTTGCTATTTATGTGTAAAGATTCAAATGATAAACAACAAAGTGATTATTAAAATGCGGCTCTTAACAATTACGCAGCACATATTGACAATAAAAAGACAGACGATAATCGCGTTTTGTGTAATTACGCAAATATAATGAATAATTTCACTCACCGGTCGTTGTACCCTAGCTAAATACGCTTACAGCTGTATCTGTGGAAAAATTAACATATATTTTAATTATTATACATATCATACACATTTCATGTGTTAATTATTACATACCATTTCATTATTTTCATTTTAATTAAAATATAACTATAATAAATTTATGTAAATAGTTATTATAAAATTTTTATAAATATTTAACAAATATTTTAATAAAAATAATACAATCATGAAATATTGATCGTTTAATTAAGTTAACCAATATGAAGATTGTTAACATATGTATTTAATAAAAAGAAGATTGCAATATTAGCAATTAACAACTAGCGTTAGGCACGAAATCCTCTGTTTTTGTATTATTATTATTTCATACGTGTCTTTCTTTCTTTATTGATATTTTAATAAATATTTCAATAAATCTTAACAACTATTTAATACATATAAATTGTAATTTATAAATTGTAATTGTGTATATTTATTATCATAAATATTATAAATATTACATTATATTAAAATAACCTAAAAATTGTACTCACCAGGTAGGGTATTGCAGTGTGCTCCATCCGCTGCAGATTCTGCTTTTGGGCCTGTATCCACTGCTTCACATTATATCCAACGAAGAATACTGGAAATCCTGCACTTAGTACATGCACTTACACACACTACCGAAGGAACATCAACTCGTACACTTCACTTACGCGAAATTTACAATTTTATATCGCGGATCTGCCACGCCGCGATACAGGAAATGTAAAATCATAAGATAAAATACACCGAAAATGCGCACACTCGGAATTATTCAAAATTGATGCAACTTCATTGCATTCCCGGTTGGTGGTGTACTTTATACTGTCACACCCATAACGCGTTCACACACACACACGCCCGCACACTAACATAATATGCTTTCGGAACAGCCGAGACAAACGACGGTTGATTTAACAATTCTGTAGAAGTCATCGGATATAAACACGCATACAATAACTAAGATTCATTCCGACGAACCGAATTTTTGACTGTGCTACGTCTACTGAAAAGTATATCCCGCTTTGACAAATAGATTACGAGAGCCAAAATCTGTACTTACTGAGACTACACCGAACTCCAATCTACGATGCATGGTTAATCGCGAACACCTGCAGTACACAATACGTTTCCGCACTCGCCCGTCACTTTAATCGGCACCCCCGACGAAAATTCGTACTTGGTATACACTTTTGACAAATAAAACACACGATTAATTGCAGAGCATTCGCGCTTTGCAATTCCAAACCAAAATGGCGTACAGAAACTATGTGCAGACCGTGAGATGGCGCACGTAGTATCGAAAGTGTCGAGTGAACATAGATCTATTTTATTTATCTAGTGAAATATCGATATCGATTCACATCACGCGCGCCATCTGCCAACTAGATAGCTGCTATTACACTGTGTCGTCTTGGATATTGAGCGCGAACGTTCTGCGATAGTCTTATTTTCCGTGTTTTATACGCTAAAAGTGCTTAACGAGTACGAATTTTTATCGAGAGTGTCGACTAATGTAACGGACGATTGTCAGAACGTATTATTGCTGCCGTGAACGCTCGCGATTAATGAACGACGGTGCTTCGTCGATCATCTGGTGGTAGGATTGTAGATTCAAACATACATTTTCATTAAAGACTGAGTTTAGTGTAACGGATCATCAACGGATACGCTGTGTGATGATCCTTATATTCACTCAAGAGCACCGAGCGCGATGTATTTTTTAGTAGAAGTAGCATGTCAAAAATTCAGCTTATCGGAATTAAATCAGGTAAAATGTTGTTTTGTACATAGTGATCTCTGAAATAACCGTCATAACAGTCGTTTACCTCGTTCATCCATTGTGTATCAAACCGCTGAAGACTGGTAATATTGTTTACATGTTTAAATGTTTTAGAAGACAAAATACGTTTTATTTCACGTTTGCGTTTGTGGACGGCAGAAAATTTGTAATATCCGTGATTAGAATCCGTGGTTTTCGCGTAAGTAAAGTGTGTGTGTGTGTCTGTGTGTGTGTGTGTGTGACTAATTTTAAGTGAAAATTTCTGGAATTCGTCGATTTTCTCTCTTGGATGGAGTTGATAAAGAGCAAAGCGAAATCCACAGCGGATGAAGCAAACTGCAATACCTTAGCTGGTGAGTATAATTTGTAGATTATTTAAATATGTATATAACTGTAATAAAAATATTACAATTAATACTTATAAAATATTCATTAAACCATCTAAAGATATTTGTTAAAAGATTTATTGAACATTTATTAAAATTTTGAAATAATTATTCATACAGTTTATTATACATAGTTATGTTTTAATTAAAATGGAAATAATGAAATAATGCATATAATGCATATAAAATGTGTGTGATATAATACATACTAATTAAAATATATATTAAATTCTCCAGGTATAGCTGAAGGCGTACTTGGCTAAGGTACAACGATCGGTGAGTGAATTTATTCATTATATTTGTGTAATTACACAAAACATATTATAAGCTGTTTATAAATCTTGTCCACAATTTGTGCTTTTGCAAATAAAAATAATAGAACTAAATATACTTTTTTTTTATGTTTACAGGAAAGAATATAAAATTTTGTACAAATTATGTATGCACTTTATTATTCTTAAAAGTGTAAAACTGCAAAATTTGTTAAATTTAAATTATACATGCAACAAAGTTTCTTGAATAAATAAATTATAAGAAGTTGAATTTGAAAACTAAGATTTTGAAGAAAAATTTGAAAATATAATAGCCAATATGTTTCCAATGTATATGAATATATTTTTCACTTAATCTAACTCATAAATTTAATTGATCAAATTCTTTTTGCAAAAGAACTAATTGTTGAAACAGTTTTGGATGGCATTTTTAATACAATGAAAATGAGATGTGTAGTAATATATACAATTGCTTAGCAATTAATATAATCAACTCACTTTTATATTGCGCGTTTTACCGAATGGTTCTTTTCTTTTTCCGGACATCGTAAAATTTCAGTGTTTTAAATATAATACACTTTGCGAAAAGAGACTTTTCTACAGTAACTTAAAAGGTATGAATACTGTATCTTTTCTCATTGCAATTCTCATTGCTTTTATAATTAACAGAACAATCTTTAGTTACTATTAAATTGAGACAAAACCAAATTATATATATTTTTTCTTTTAACTAATAGCATATTTAAAACAGTTGTTATATGTATATATACATTTGTTATTTAAAAACTTTTATGTCGATTACAAATTTAAATTGACCATTCAAATTAAAACTTCTATTAAATAATATAGTGATAATTATAGAGTAACGAATACTTATCTTTTATTAATAATTTTTTATTTAAATATGTTTATATAATTGTGATACATCTACAATTTATAATTATAAACGAACGAGCGTAAAATTGCAATTTGTCTGATGTAAGTCCGATTTCATGAGCGCACAAGAAAAGTTTACATCTAGAACCGGAGATGGAGATGCATTCCATTTTATTTGCGTTGAAGCATCTTCGAAAAACTTACTTTCGCTATAAAGCACAAGAGTGTTTGAAAGTACAAGAAGTTTGAGAGCAACTGTTGTCCGGTTTCAAGAAATTCTTGGATACTATTTTATCGTCGTCTACATAAAATAACTTTTTCTTTATTTATTGAATATTAGCAAACAACGCTGAGATTGGCCTTGCCCTTTATATTTCATCACAATATAATATTGCATATCTTTTGCCATAACGTGATTTAACTTCATTTAAATATTACGACATAAAAATCAGATTTTGTGCAAAATGGAAGAATCAGATCCTGCTAAAATAGGAAATAATAATTTATCCACAGGGGGCACAAATCAATTCTCGCAAGAATAGCTGCATTTAGCAGGAAAAATTGAATAGCATCCGCGTAACAATCGAACCTGATTCAGTGGAAATCCAGAGGTATATATCAATCACATGCAATTGCCACTCAACTGCTGTCTCTGCTGAATACGCCCAATGTGACATATCAGTCGTGTTGCCCCATTGATTTAATCTGAAAATGGGTCGAATAATTTGCTCGTTCATGTAAACGTGAAATTTTACGAGCAGATGTGCGACGCACTGCACTATTGTGTACTAGATTTAATAATTGAGTTCACTTAATCAACAAAAAATAGGAACGAATAAAATTCGAAGTTTTCAAAGAGATAAATAGGACTAAATAGACTTTTCTTTACTGTTCTTGACGGATATATACTAGTTCATGCGAGAGAAGAGAAATACTTCAGATGTTAAAGCTAGATACTTCGGCCTGTGTATACTCTAATGTAAATACCTAATATCGTGGCTTGTTCGCTTCCGCTAACGATTCCCCTCTCGTTCCTCCTCGCGAAACCGAAGCACCTCCTCGAACGGCATCCTTCAGTGTCTCGGTATCTATAGGAAAGGGCTCGTTAGTACCGTCCGCCGTAGAAAGTCTTTGTATCGCACGTACGTAACCCACAAGTCGATACTCCGTGTGGTGCAGGAATTTCGGAATTTCGCAAGCCGGCGCAGTCTGCATATTTCATTGTGACTGTGAATGCACAATGCACCGATAAAATATGGACCTGCTGAACATCCACCGCACGAGGGAAGAATGAAAAGCGCTATCTTGCAAAGAGAGAGAGAGAGAGTGAGACAGAAGAAAGAGTAGGAATACGAAATATTCACTTAACCCGTAAAATTACAGGTCGTCTAATTTTATTGGAATTTAATTATTCATCCGTATTGTTCATCCGGTTTAAACTCAATTTGCACATCTCATCCAAATAAAGTAACTCATGTTTTATGAATAGAGCGCATAATCGACGCAAAAGTGTTGTTCCCGATCAATCGTTCTGCATGATCAAATGCATAAATTCCGGCAAGGGCCCGCCTTGTAGAATGCAGCGGCGTGTGCAGACGCTGAAAGATTCGCCAGTACTAATTAAGATTAATGAGTTGTCCGAGAAATCGAGACCAAGTTCTCGTGCGGTAATTAGCAGTCTACTTCACCTTTCTATATAAGACAGCGCGGCCGAGCCATAGCCGAGTGTCGTGGAAGTTTCTCTCCCTCTCATCCTCATCCCCGTCGTATCATCCTAAGGCGAAGCACTTATTACGGAAAGAGTCTTCTTCCCCTCTTCACTTTTCCTCGCTTCTCGACTCGCTTCTTCGCTTTCGTCTTCCTAACTCTGATGCTTTTATTTGCTAGACTTTGTTCGTCGACCAGTTGCGCTATGGTATGCGCTGTCTGCCGAATACATTGTCACTGTTGCACATTTTAGACAGACCGTTAAAAAGAATATCGTACACTTTGTTATTAAAGTCGATAATCTTAATACAGTTATAAATTATTGAATAACAATTTTTTGAAGAACAATAAATTATTTTAAGATTTTAATTTTGTACAAGTATTTAAATATTATTTTTATTACACAGCAAAATTTTCCAAATTAGAAATTTATTTAAATATTATATTGTGATTTGTGATATCAAACTAAGGCATAACAAAACATAAAAGTAAAAGCTTTTTTACAGAAATTATTCTTTTGTAGAATTTTAGAATTTTTTATGGAAAGTTTGCATACTTCACCTAAGTATGCCAGGCGCTATATCGTTCATTTTTCCCTCTTTGTCTGCCTATAGCTCTGCCTGCAAATAGTAATTTTTTTTAACTACGGCGGAGGAAAGTATAAATTAGACGATCGATAAAATACGTCGTCCCGGTAGTCGAAAGTTTTAACCGCATGAGTCGCATGTCGCATGCATCCACGCAGGTAATTAGTTTACTATCCGTACTGCGTGTGAAGAGTTTCTAAACATAAATAGTTGAGATTTAATTTAACAACTAATTCGTAGAAACGCGAGACTGGTATAATTCATATTACTGCATAGTGCCAATTGTATGTGAGGCGCATCCGCATATACAACACACGTCACAATGCAACAATTAATCTCTCTCCGAAATGTGGCGTTTTCGCTATGACGGTCAACTGCAACGTTTGATAACAGCATTTAGAAACAATCGGGACAGCATAAGGGTCGTTAATGGAACACGACGTATGAGATCCGTTATCAGATAGGCGTACATTAGCGACAGCGAAACGATTAAACTACCCGTAGTTGACATTAACCGTCTATCACGAATCTTTGCTCATACAGAAAATTGTGTAGTTGCATTATTTTCTGCTGTGTCATCTATAATTATTATTATAGTATTAATTATATAAACAATTGACAACTAAATCAATCTGTTTTAGTTTTCTCTGTTTATGATAACTTGTAAACATGATTTGTTACAGTTACTTAATTAGTTAATTAGTTATTTATTAATTACTTATTAATTAATTAATTAGTTATTTAAACAAATTTTAACAAATTTATGTTTATAAACAGATTAAAATTTTATTTGTTACTGCGTACTTTATGCAAAATTTTTAAAATATTTTGTAATTGTGTCAGAAATTTGGTTAATTAATATTTATGTAAATAAATAATTGGCTTTGCATGGTTTATCGACTAATCACAAGTCAAGGCTCATTATCGAATACATCAATAAGGACATTAATTAGGCTATTATTGTGGGTATTGGTCAGCAGAACTTATGAAGATGCATCGATTTATCGGTATTTTTCTTTAGGCCCGGATGATATGTGAGCGCATGCAAATAGCGCAGCAATTATCATCTACAGCATATTAATATCTCAAATTACGCGGTTTCATGAGCAATTTCTAAAAATATTCAGCGTTTCTGCTATGTCTGTGATCGTTTATAACAAACACATCGGAAGAATCACGTGCTGTTGAATTCTATATTGTCGTATAATTAACATAATGAAAATTAATTACATCCGAAACAATTTTCAAATGACAATAATATAATTTGAATGAGGTATTTGTTAAACGTAAATTCGTACCGCGAAAGAAAGAATTTTTTCGGATTATACGCATTGTGTATTTATGTATATTAAAAGCGCGTGTTTTGACGGCACTTCGAGTAAAATCGTAAAAAGCAACAAACCACGCAAAACGCCGAACTCTGATAACAATTGCTTCACACGTAGCACCTGTCCAGGACACGTTCAAAAAATAAAATACAACAATCTGAACTGTGCTCGCTAAAATTGGTTTGACGAAAAATATGAACGTGAATAACACATCTTAAAATAATTTTTGATACCTTTTTAAAGAAAAAATTCCAATTCTCTGCAAAATATTATCTTGGTTAAACGTTAGATTGTGTAAATAGAATTGTAAACGATTCAAATTGCGCATTTTTATCACGTGCCGATAATAAAAGCGGTCCATAAAAGCACTTTATGAAACTATTCTGAACATGTAGCTTCCAATCGTTGATTATTTTGTTGCACAATAAGTTTAATAAATGGAAATTGCACTCCCGGATAGAAACGCTAGAATACGAAGTTGAAAGCACTTTGCTTCCTGTAACCTG